AGGGGTTGCTGCATGCGTATATTTTCTAGTTACATGAGAAAAACAATGTCAGTTCCAGAGCGAACTCAAAACAAGAGCCCCCGATGCTTGCAGCTGACCAAAAATTTAAATATGGTACATAATAGTTCATTGTTCAATTATGGGGATGGAGCAGATGATGACAAGTGATGACAATGGGGGCAGGTCAGTTAAAAAAGAGCTTATATTTAATTTTAGTGCATAGCATTCATGTGTATACCCCTACTTTAATTGAACAACTCCTTATGTTCGAAAATATTATACAATACTGCATTTCAACAAATATATATATCAATCAAACTTATTTGAACCAAGAAATATGATTTTACACTTGCATACTGTATAATCTGCATAAATAATAAGTAATATTTTTTACTTGCCACACTATTTATTTATTTTGTCCAAAAAGTAAATCAAAGAAAATTTAGGCCTGTTTCAAACGTCGTGTTTATCATGTGCCGAACCTAATTCGAAGTGTTTAGCACATGATAAGCCAACGTTTGAATAAATTAAGTTCGACGATTTTTATTAAGTTTGACACCAATATTAATTTCTACAAAGTCAGTTGTGCCTAATGCATTTAGTTCGATACGACACGACATTCATTCAAACGGTGAACTTTTCATGTGCTGAATCCAATGCATTTGGCTACGAAAAGTTCCATTATACACCCTTGTATCCCATGCAATCATATGCTATTTTTGGCACCAACTGCGCTTCGAGCAAATAAAACATGGACATTTTGTGAGAAAATTACTAAATACAAATGTATGCATTGTCAGTTACCTGCTTGTAACCGATGTACTATGTTCAAAGAAGACGAGGGAGCTACTGGATGGAAAGCAGGGGGGAATCAGTTGGATATTGCAACGACTGTCAATTGACATATTCACCAACCACAGTTAATTCCGACGTTTTTGAGTCCCTTGATGAAGAGCGTGAACGTTTAATGCCATCGCCGTTACCAGAAACAAACAGGTCTGTTTTTATATGTTTTTATTTTTTTTAAGGAATCATAGCAATCAACCAAAAAATGTACAATGAATGAACAAATAATAAACTAAAGCGAAAATGGCTAGATTTGAGTACAATTTTTAAGTTTTTGTACGTTTTGACATAGTTTTTACATGGCTTGTGTGCATAGCATTCATGTGTATACCCCTAAACCTCTGAATACATTAAAGCCCCCACAAATATAAGCAACCCACCCCCCATGTATAAGCCCACCATATAATATATATACTCTATTTTTATATTTCTTTTCATTCATGGTATAGTTTACAGGTACAATAAATATATTATACATGCATATATAAGCCCCCCACGATGTGTAAGCCAATCCAAAAATGCTTACAAACAACTATAAGCTCATGGCTTATATTTGGAGGTTTACGGTATTCAATTATATGATCGAATTTCATTACTACTTTGTGCATTCCCCAAATCACTGAGACCATAGTCGAAGCCAAATCTCCCTACTATAGGGAGGACAAAATGCGCCAAGTTAAAAATGCTGAGAATATTTATCAATATTATATTGCACTTTTTCTGACCAAATTCTACCTTGATTGTACATTTTGTCCAGACAAAAAATAGCAATGGGTTGTTCCAGAAAATATCCATACTCCCCCCATGGAGGAAATTTCTGCGTCCGGAGGGGGGGGGGGAAGAAAATAATTTTCTGATAATAGTAAATGTATTAGAACATCCGAAGGGGGTAGGGGGATTAACTTTCTATTTCCTCCGTGGGGGTGGTATGGATGTTTTCTGGAATGACCCAATCAAAGCTTGATTCTTGTAAGGGACTGTAATATGTATTCCTTTATTGATTTGCCAGTGAATCAAATAATGATGACTCGGAACCTTTATTTCAACTAAAGTGTGGGAAGTAAAAAGCTGGCAGGAAAGCCATGTGGTCAGAAAATGCGCTTGATGATTTTGTAGACATTATCACAGGTAGTGAATACTACAAGAAAAAATTGATATTTACCAATACAAAGAACCAGAAAAATGGCATTATTTATGAAAACATCTTAACTGAACTAAGAACAAGATGTGATGAAAGAAACGAAACAATAAATTTCACAATCGTACAAATGCGTAACAAGTTTAAGAAGTGTATTAGTGAATGCAAGCATGCATCAATGACAATAAAACTGCCACTGGGATAAAACGGTTCCAGGAAGGTAAAGGCACCTGGTTTAAGCAGCTTTTTCCTCTCGTCCAGTCTAGAGATTCATGTCAGCCAGATATGGCTGTGAAGCCCTCCTGCATTAGTAGTACTAGTACCTGTAGTACAAGTAGCAATTTGTTGAATGATCCTGAGGAAGATGATCGACCAGATTCAGAAAATGGAGTAAAAACATTTGTTCCATTGAAAACAAAGGAACTATCTGCCAAAGATCATGTTGGTGAAGTTGTTAAACTTCTCAAGACCACGGTTCAGAATGATCCTTCAAAAGAACTAATGCGTTTTATCCAGGATGAAGCTGAAAAATCAAGAAAGCATGAACTAGAGATGACAAAGTTGTTGCTTAATGCCACAGCTCCTCCTAACCAACATGCAGAAAGAGCAAATCAAATGCATTCATGGCCACAACAATATCATCTGAATGCTCTTAATATCTAACACCATCAGCCATCATTTCAAGCTCATCCTATTTCAACAGAGGGTTTTGCTACACCCACACAAACTTACTCAAGAATTGGTACTAGTTCTTCTGATTTTGTTAGCAAACATTACCACACATTGTAGATGAGTTGTTTATAAGTTGGTTTGTTCCACATACCATTGTAGTTACAGCAGTTTTATGTGATATGCAACCACCTCAATAGCAATAGCAATAACAATAGCTTGTTTTTTACATTTAGGCCATTAATTCAATATCAGAAACGTCAATAAACCCTACACTCGATCATGGCTTAAGGGAAAGATATGGCAAAGTTTGGGCCATATATGACCCATATGTGGGAATGATATGGGACAGTATAGATATCATATGGGATTGGTATGGTGTCTAAATTTGTTAAGTATCGAGATATGGAAAAGCTATGGAAACAAACACATTGTTATTAATCCTATGGAAAATCTGTGGGGTTACTTGGTCCATAGGTAATCCATATCAATGGCACATTTTTACATATGACCAATTCTATGGGAATTATATGGTAGTCCACACTTGGTTGTCCCATATACTTTCCATATCTATGGGAATTATATGGTAGTCTACACTTGGTTGCCATATACTTTCCATATCTATGGGAATTATATGGTAGTCCACACTTGGTTGTCCCATGCTTCTCATATCTATGGGAATATATGGTAGTGCACAGTTTGTTGTCCCATATAGTTCCCATATCTATGGGAATTATATGGTAGTCTGAACTTGGTGTGGTTCTGGCCTCCCATAGAGAATCCATACATATGATTTCTATGGCAATGCTATGCCAACCCTTACGAAAATTTTCTATAGGAATTCCTATAGGAAATGAAATTCCTATAGGATTTGAAAGTTCCTATAGGAATTCATGTAAGATTTGAAAATGGTGAAAAAAAATTCCTTTAGGAAAAAGAAATTCCTATATATATACATATAGGAAATAAAAATTCCAATAGGAATTTCTATAGGATTGGAAAATAAATAAGGTTCATAAATTTATTTTCTAACTTAATTAAATGAATAATTACCGCAATGTGCGCGACCGAAAGACTGGTGTCTAGTTTTTTGCCACTCGCACAAAGCATCTTGGGATAGGTCATCACACCTCCGATATTTTTTATTTTTTCGTTTGTGAATGCTTTATGATCAAAATAGAACTATTTTTGATGAGATTCAACTGGATTTTCACTAGTAATACATCAGCAATGTTTGTATAATGTTCAGGTAAGAATATGTTTATATTTTGTTTATAATAAAGCAAATCATAAAGGAATACCTTGTCCAATCTTCATTCGTGAAATTCGAGCATGTGTTTCGATCGGTTTAAAATTTGAATTTGCCGCGACAATAATGATTAGAACGCTGATATAAATATATTTATAGCTGGCATTTATACTTCAATAAATGCTACTATAAGAGTTTTATATTTGAATTAGACTTATCCATGTTTATTGGTTAATATCTTTGTATATGCCAACTGTATATGCAAGATTAATTGCAGACATTAAGCATGCCTATTACATATATACTATATGCTCATATTACATGTTAGTTTGAAAATTTATCTACTTGCTCAAATCAGCAGCAACCTTTCTAAGATTCTAATATTTATTCATATGTTATTGTTCAAATTAAAATTTGATATTTCATTGGGAGAGGTGTGCCAGGAAAATTCTCCATGTTTTTCTATGAAATTAACATTTAACTATGTGGATGGTATATTCAAGTTAACAAGACTCAATCTCTACTTATCTTACATTTCACACTATAAACTCATTATAAAGATGAATATGCTCAACCTTCAGTACTTTTTTATTTTACCTTGTCTAACACCAGATCAAATATTTTACTTGTGAAAGAGAGTGGACAACTTTGATAGGTTTTCTTGCTGTCCCTATGTGTTATGTGTAAACTCATTGAGACCCAATTCACACTAATCTGCTCTTTTTCAAAGCTCAATATTTTGGCCTGTCTAACACCAGACTATTTTGCATTGTTTGTTGTTAACACATTTAGATGCAATTCATCCTAACACTCCCCACTTTCAGTACTTTGATAGTTAATTATCAGATGATTTTACTCATCAAGATAAGAAGTGTTGGTTATTGAAAGGTTATTAATACTTAATAATTAACTGCAAAAGCTGTTGTGTTGGAATATTTAAAAGCAATGTGCCCTACTTTTAGTACTTTGTTATTTTATTAAATATTTATTCCATTAATGTGCCAGACTCTCCACTTAACAAATAAAATGGTCTGTAATTAGACATATAATAAAACATAACGATTTGGCATTTGACAGAGTAAATTTGTCTTCCGTTAGACAGAGTAAAATATTAAATTTGATGCAAAAATGCTTGGTGAAAATTTGGCTGCAGAATATAGGGTATAAATTTTCTGTCAGTACAATCATTTTTGTCAGATCTGGCAAAATCTTGACGTTTGAATTATTTTGTCCTGCAGATGATAGAGGTTGTAGAAGGATCTGGCATGTTCTGCTATTGACACCAGTGGGCATATTGCTCTGCAAGATTTTCTAAAGAAGGCCCTACACCAAGTCAGGTGATACAAAAAATAAACATGAAAAGTGATGTGGAGGCCAGGCATATGCAAAGAGTTTGAATAGTCTGTAGTCAGGCCCACAAGTTGAGAGGACTGAGGACATTATAGATATCGATGCATTTATATAGATCAATAAGCACTTAGTACTTGACATTATCCCATGTTTGTATATATAGTTATACCATGGTAATTTAGTTAGACAAACTTTGCAAGTTCATTAAGAAATAGTAAATTAGTTAACAATTTTGTAATTTGTTTATTTATTAACTATGTTATTTATTTGTGTATTGTGTTTTTGAAGATTTTTTGCATGTTAGTAAAACTATGTATGCCAGCCAGTACAATTTTCTTGAGCTGCAGCAAGTATATTGGGAATGGTGGCCACTTGTTTTCATCCCGTACCAAACCCACAATGTGTTAACATCTAGCATTTGGATGTTAGATGTTAACATGGGTTTGGTATGGGATGAAAAACAAGTGCCCATACCATTCCCAGTATAATATGATAATTGTTGCACCCATACCAATCCCATAGTTTATATACATCAAGAACCATATGAATTCCATATCATGTTCCCAGATCATTTCCATATAGAATCCTATCATTCCCATAGCAAAGTTGTCATGAAATGGTATAAGGAACCCGTGTATTTCCCATAGTAAGTGATATGGGATATGTATGGATTTGTACCAAATACGTATCAAACCCATATCAAAAACATGATATGGGTATGCTATGAAGGCAACCAGGCCATACCAAAGCCATATAACTTCCATATATGGCCCATAGGTTGAACCATATCAATCCCATAGTTTATACATCAAGAACCATATGAATTCCATATCATGTTCCCAGATCATTCCCATATAGAATCCTATCTTACCCATAGCAAAGTTGTTCTGAAATGATATAAGGAACCCATGTATTTCCCATAGTAAGTCATATGGGATATGTATGGATTTGTACCAAATACGTATCAAACCCATATCAAAAACATGATATGGGTATGCTATGAAGGCAACCAGGCCATACCAAAGCCATATAACTTCCATATATGGCCCATAGGTTGAACCATATCAATCCCATAGTTGGTCCATATATGTCCCATATAATTTGGTTTTGTAAGGGTTACTATTCTGATAATTATACCCGATAACTCATCGCATTAAATTAGAACTGTTCAATTTGGCTGGCTTTGTTCAGTTGATGTGTCTGATATTGAATTAGCGACTACGCCTAAATGTCAAAAACAACTACCTCTATCAATGTTTTTGCACAAGGTGGTCGCATATCATGTAAAACTGGTGTAATAAGTTGGGTTGTTTTCAAGTTGGTTAGTTGTTTTTTTTTTATGTTGGGTTAATTGTTCGACAACTCCCCTCCTGCCCACAAAGTAAATGAAAAAGTGAACAAGGTTATCTGAAGTGAATATAAATATCTCACAGACAGGTATATAATATATCGAGTGGGTAGTGGACCTTGCCCTTGGAGATTAATTGTTCCTGGTAACAGCTGCAACTAATCAATTACACAATTACATTATTTTGCTATTAATTAAAAGACATAGTTGAAAGAAATTAATATGTCCTGTTCAGTCACTTGTTGGAATTAACTATGATAGTGGAGTACAAAATATACCTGCAATACACTTTTGGTATCAGCTAGCATTTGAAATAATGCCTGACATGGAATGTGTTTGATCAAATACTCTGGCCAAATATAAAAAAACACTTTCAACAAACGAGTTTGGAAGGAGAAATTGCTTTCAGATATGTATTGTTTCAGAATTGTAAGTTTGCCTTAGTATAAAGAACTTGTAAAACAATGTGTAGAAAACTTTTTACAGCTTTTCAAATATTGTTTACAGTCAAAAGACAAGAACCTTCCCGCTTCTGTAATCTGTGCACGTTTTCTGTAATTTATTCTGCATTACTGTAACAGTACCGATTTATAGACAAATACGGCAATAAAATTCAAATTTTGCATCCTTCACCAGGAATTATCAAATAAAAACAAAGAAAACTAAATTTTGTCGCCATATTTGTTGATAATTTGGCAATCGCTACAGAAAAACAGAACAATTTACAGAAAATTACAACAGACTACAATCCTTGTCAAAAATATTGGCACACTTGACACTGACTGTGCGAAATTTGACTCCCACATCAATAACAAGCATAGCAACCCCTTCCCCTGTTCAGTGTTGTGTGTAGTGTGGTATACGTCCAAGGTGTTACACAACATTGATAAGGGGGATTAGGGAGTGTTTGGACATGAAATTTTGCATAAAATGGGCAAGTATGTATGTGGTAGTCAGAAATGAAGTAAAGGGTTATACTATTTCGACTTAGTGCGCCAAGGATTTTTGACCAGGATTGTAGGTTCTTGTATTTTTCCTGAATACTTAGAGATTTTGTTGCATCTCATTTGATTGAATAATAATGGTTGAAGGGTCTTGTAGATGGAAATTATGAACTGTAAATTTACATACAAACATTGAATAGCCTACGTAGACTGAAATAGTTTTGATCTGTCTAATGCCAAACGATTTTACTCATCAAGGGGAGAGCGATGGTGCTCAATGGATTAAATAAGTAGCTTTCTACCATGTTGGATTAAACAGCTTTATGAGCCTAATGGTTATTTTTTCAACCAAGAGTAGTTTTATGTGGGGCTAACCCTGCTTTCTATGTCACTAAAAGCATATTTGTTGATGAGGTACAAATTAATCAAAGATGGCAGACTGCTCATTGTTTTCAGTCACAATATTTCTAATAACTTAAAAGTCCTTAGCATATATTTAGATGGATTTGAAAAGGATTTAGAAGTGTTAAAATGTTGTGGCTTAACCTGCAGGAGTGTACAAGCCTTTACAAAAATCTCTATTATTTCAAGCACTAAATATGCACTACCATACTTCTAAAAAATACAAAACAATGGACACTCCGAAAATGGTTAACATTTTGATTCGATGTTTCAACTAGCTTGCAGTCATCATTCCTGATGATGACTGCAAGCTAGTCGAAACGTCGAATCAAATTGTTAACCATTTTCGGAGTGTCCATTGTTTTGTATTTTTAAAATTACTCAGTGGTAACCGTAACTTTCTACCATACTTCCCCCGTCTCTTTTTCTAACCACAGCTTTTCAACAAGAGCACTTCTAATTTTCCCGGCTTCTTCTGTAGCAACTCTCTGACTGTTTCCCTATCTTGTTTCTCATTGGCACTAGGATCAACTGAAAGATCCAATATTTTTTGGATAGTGTCCTTTAGGGTAAGGCAGATGTTATGAAGAACTATACAGGCAAGAACATTCATTCGTACCTTCTCACTGCTGCTTTCACATTAGGCAGAATCAGCAACCACAAGTGGAGGAATGGTCTTATTACCAACCTGTTTCCCAACTCTTGGTAAGCAGTTTCCCTCTTGAATTTTCGCCCATAGGTCAGTTGACTGAAAAATTACAGAATCATGCGAGTTACCAGGGTAACCACAACTTCCCCAAATGAACCGATAATGAGAGTCAACCATGGCCATGAGTACAACTAAGAAGAAGTTTTTAAAATTATGATATTCCTTGCTTGATTCTTGGCCACCAGGAGGACATTTTATTGGAATGTGACAGCTGTCAAGCGCTGCCCAACAGCAGGGAAACTGCCACATTTCTTCCATGTCAATGATTTTGTTATTGAATTCTTGTTCTGAATGTGGCATGAACTTGTCAACACTCTCCAAAGATGTTTAACCATAGCTTCACAAACCTCCTCCGTTATGGTGCAGACAGTTGATACTCCAAGACCTGTCATCTCTGCAATAGTATAATAATACGAGCCTCTTCCAAGACGATATAGGCAAACAGCAAGAATTCGGGAGAAATGGGAACTTCGACGATGCTTTTGCGCTCAAGTACATGTCTAATGCAACTAAGAATAAAAGAAAATGTTTCACAAGAGACTCTGAATGTCTTTTTAAACCTTGCAGCTGAATATGTATGCCAAATGAGGTTCCGCCAGCCAGAATTTCGTGCAAGTCGACGACATGAACGAGGTACTGGGGAAAAAGCGTTCTTACCAGACAAAAGAATAAGCACCACAAACATCGATACTCGAATTCTCCTAATCAAAAGGGTGTGTAGAGCTGATTCTACCATTCGTCTTCATCTCTTTCCACGTTCAAACATGCTCCGGATAAGAACAATATTTTTTCTGTTGAATTTCGCCATTTTGAAAATGCAATAAACAAGACAAATAGGGAGCATGCGCGCAGATGACCGCAGACCAAAGATAATGAAAGCTCGCCATCGCAATTAAGGTAATTCCGCAGTTTTGCATTGTGCACCTTTACTGCACACATCTTATAACTGATAATTTCATTCATTATACGTACCATTTAAAACAAAACATCATTTTATGACAATTTTATGTTACTTCAAAACATCTTTGGTTACATTCGTGCAAAGAATTGTGTTAAAATCAATGTTTTCAAAAAAGGCATAGAAAAGTGTAGCTAGAGTTTGCTGTGTCTGTAGTATACTTATTTACTTGTATTTCATGTTTTAATGCCACAATTCCCTAAAAGATTGGTGACCCCCGTTTTTTAACTGATAATTTATTTCTTTAATGCATTTCATATCCGAAATTGAAAGAAAAATCATTTCTGGATTTTGAAAAAAATCCTTTATCAATGCATGTTCTCAAAGAAAAATATGTGAAGAAATGTGGAAAAGACATTTATCGATCAGAATTGTACACGTTAGTAATTTCATTTTGCTCAAAACACAATATTTTTTTCAAAAATAATTACAAGATAAGTTTACTAAAGCAAAATCCACACTAAAAACGTCAATAAATATCGAGCTGTTGTGATTTTGCTGTTACTTGTAATGAGCGTCAAGATGGCGCCATATTGGGTAAAGGTGGTATATTGTGATTGTCATATATTCTTAACGAGTTCGGCGACTCCAACTTTTTTGTGCGATTTTACTTTAAGTATATCATAAACTCTATGCCTGGGAAGTTTCAACACATTCTCATTTCGGGAACAATTACTGCGGAATTACCTTAAGTTTGACTTGATTAAGTTCGACGTTTGAATCAATGTCGAATTTTGCTGAACTTTGCCGAACTTAAGACGAATTAGGTTCGGCACATGATAAGCACGACGTTTGAAACAGGCCTTAGTATTTACAAGAATTGGGGCTAGCTGGCTAGGGACCTAACAGAAACCACATGACTACCATTTAAGGCCCCTATTCCCTAGATCATATATTTACAATAATTAAAATATAATATGCCAGTTCAAATGCTTATAAAATACAATTCCAGTTAAGTATTACACTGAAAAATACAAAATAAAATGTGGCAATTAGCTAAATGACAGGTACAATAACACAATTATAATTTTAAATTGAAAAAGAATATAGTTACTGTCATAAGCATGGATTTTATCCCAAAATATCAGCTATCAGATACCTATCTATAAAAGACGTAAAAACATAAATCCATTCAAAACAGTAGCGTAGCCAGCCTGACGATTCAGTCACTATGCATATATTTTCGTGTTCATTGACTGTGGGCTGGCTACGCCACTGATTCAAGATACACTAAACAATCTTGCCTGGACAGTATAAATACAATATGTCCATTTCATTATTTCAAGTCTTGGGCATTCTTGACTTGAACGAATACGACTACCACAATTATTTCTCATGCTATTTCTCTACTGCTTTCACAATGTTTGTTGCAAGTATAAAACACCATTCACGAGGCTAGATGTTAACATAGCACAGTATTTCTGGCAATGAAACGCTCAAAGTGACCAAGTGACCATTTCACACAAACTTTTATCGATGGATAATTTTGTGAGTTTTCATCCAATTCAATCATATATATGCTCAAAATCTTTGTGGTAAGTTTCTCTTTACCATAAAACTTGACTGAATAAGTTTCGAAACAATGCGACGGCAATAACTGCAAAAAATCCTGATTTTCATAATGGAATCTATAGTCTTTCTGCCCTCTTGTGCCGCCATCTTTGGATTTACATGAAGCTACATCCATAGCTTGGATTTACTGCCTGCGCTAGGTATGTGTCAGCAATCTATGGTTTCGGCTTCACGAATTAAGCAAGATCTCACTTAAGCGAGCCAGCCATGTTTCCATATAAAATACAATATGAATATTTTAAACTGTTAAATGCTTTGATCAGAGAAACTTTTTATGTGTTTCTATTAAGTGAGCACAAGTTATCCATGAGAAGACAGCCAAAGCCAGTAAAGCATGGCCAAGCAGATTAATTTATACCATTTGTACTCTGACAATAAACACTATGTAAACAGCCATCCAAAACATTTTGAGTCCAAATTGCACTCATTAACACGTTTTCATTGATAACTCCTACTCATGAGTATCATATCTTTAGGCCTTAATTATATCATGTGTTTCAGTCTGTAAATAAAAGATAGAACAGTTCGTATGTAATGACAGTGTATAAAAATAGTAAATAAAGAGAATTTTATAGTCATTAAAACCTCAATTAATGGGCTAAAGATTTTCCATGAGCCAGCAGAAAAAATATTGCAAATTAAAAACAAGGATACAGATATCTAACAACCTTAACTTTCCATTAATTGATTTCGGCAAAGCGTGGTTTGGTCGACATGCCAAATATGTATGCCAAATGAATAAACTTTTCTTTACTGATAACATTGTACCATGATCGGATTTAAGAATAAGATGGCTCAACAGTTTTCAAAAAAATGGACAATTCACGATTTTGGTCCATATTTTTGAACAATTATTATTTGTTTGAAAACAAAAAGTATCTTACTCATGTAAAATGACACCTAAAGGGTTTGAATTTTTTGCAAAAGCTACGCAACTGCCGTTGCTATGGCAACAATGATGTTTCAAAATGGCAGATATATTGGCTTTAATTAAAGTAATTTAATTCAAAAACAACATTGGGGATCCCAAAATTTTATTCCATAAAATTATTTTGACAATTTAAAAAAATTCTGTTAAGCCAAAAAATTATTATGAATCACATTTATGTAATTTGGTCCAACACAAATTTTCTCAAAATTGTCAAAGTAATTGAGTATACTAAAAGAAATCATTTCATGAAATAAAATTGGGTGGCACCAATGTTGTTTACGAGTTAAATTCCTTTATCAAAGCCAAAGTATCCACCATTTTAAAACATAGCTTTTGCAAAAAGATTCAAACACTTTAGATGTTGTTGTACATCTAAATTGTGAATTTTCAATTTTTTTAAAAAACTGTACCTAGCCACCTTAATATTAAGTAGCACAGGTGTAGCTTGCTCACTTTTGTCACTTTTTGAAAACAAAAAGTATCTTACTGATGTAAAATGACACCTAAAGGGTTTGAATTTTTTGCAAAAGCTATGTAACTGCCGTTGCTATGGCAACAATGATGTTTCAAAATGGCAGATACATTGGCTTTAATTAACTCATTGAGTCGCATTGCACCCTGATGCACCCTACTTTAGTATTTTATTCTGTCTAATATGCCAGACGATCTTAATATTAAGTAGCCAACCTTAATATTAAGTAGCACAGGTGTTGCTTGCTCGCTTTTTGAAATTAATGGGTCTTAAGTAACAACTTCCACTAATATGTACTATTAATGCACTACAAGTATAACAGGAAAATCGCAAACGAGAACTATCTAAACAATTTTGGCAAAGATACAGTACTACTTCACCCACAAGTTCATATGTTATTCATATGTTGTCTGCTATAATTGGCATTGTTAATCATGACAGAATTAGAAAGACAAGCAAAGGCCTTTCTGTAAAGCAACTGCAACTTTCAGCATCAGAAATGTGTTCTTTTATAGATATCTGGTCAGGAATTGTAAGGTTTGACCATCGTGGGAACCTGCTGAGTACATTCCTGACGTGGACAAAAATAAAAGTTTGACTGAATCACAAAGTCTGTTGGTACGGAACTTCAAGACCTATCACACAGACAAAAAGGTCCTTGGCGTAAAATTTCTTTTTTGCACTTTGAAGCCTTGCAAAGCAGGTTCTTTCCAGGTTTTGTTCCTTGTGGGTTAAATACCAGGAAAGAGGTTGATTTTTTCTTCTGTCTGCAGTTAGGATACTCTTGGTGTGTTGCAGTCTTTTAGTGCACTTTACTTTAAAAAAATGCCTGGCAATAGTAATCACCTTTTAATAGTTGCATATGCTTTTCTAGCAATCTCAAATGAAGTTGTTGAAACAGGATATTCTATGTAAATCTGCATGATTATAATTATGAAATAGGTCATTCTGTCGATCATCATTCTTAATGGACTACAAACATACTACTGGTCACTACTATGCTGGACAGGTTCTCAATGCCTGTTTATTTATAAAGACCTTTTACACTCCAGTAAATGCCAATCTGCCTGATTGATATCTTTCAATAAACTTGTCATTCTAACACATTTTGTAAAATATGTGCACAATTATGTCAAGAAAGATACACTTTGAATGAATTGTTGATAAAATTTCGCCAACAACTGTGTTTGAGTTTCACAAAGATTTAGAAGATATATGTGTAATTTAACAAACCAATCATACGAAATGTATTCATATTACTCATTCTTGCAATAATTTATTTCCTTTTTAACTGAAGGATACCACAGACATCTTCAGGAATTACGCACAATGACCCTTGCATGGATACTAGTTGAGTGATAGCAGTGATGACGAACAAATTACAACAATCTTAAAGGATGTTGAAAGGCAGATTATTTTGGTTAACAGATTGAATACTAGCTATTTCACAAGTCAAAGGCTTTTAGACTTCAGTTATTTTTTTTTACCCTTACAGAAATAAACTATAGTTTTCGACCAAAAACTATAGTTTTTGGGTGGAAAACTATAGTTTCCAAAAAAAACTATAGTTAACTTCAAAATAACTATAGTTTGTCTGCAATAAACTATAGTTTTTTGAAAACTTTAGTTTTTGACTAAAAACTATAGTTTTTTTGAGAAAAACTAGTTTTTGGTGGAAAACTATACTTTCCAAAAAAAACTATAGTTAACTTCAAAATAACTATAGCTTGTCTGCAATAAACTATAGTTTTTTGAAAACTATAGTTTTCTACCACTAGTATATAGTTTAGTTTCATATATATAACTAACTAGAAAGGGGGTCTATTATAGGGGGTACGCATCTCCGAAAACCGCACTGTTTTTCAAATTTTAACCGCAATCCGCACACTCATATCTCTTTTAAATGTAACCGCGTTCAAACCGAGGCATATGTGGTAACATATTTCGAAACATATTCTGCAACATAATGTGAGGCAATAGACCAATAGTCAGTACGTATAGTCGCCATTTCTATTGGAGTATTGAAGAGGGAGCCGCCGTTCACAAGTTTCACGCGAACTAGGTAGTATAAAATTTGGCAATTGGCAAAGCAAACAAAGTCTTAGCAGAACAAATAGGCTATAAAAAGATTTTCCTTCCATCGCTGCTTATGTTTTGTATGAGAAACAACAATCAAGTTGCTTTGATTTCATCTTTTCGGGCAAATATTTATTACTTTGAAACTGATTTCAGTTCGTAACTAGTAGCAATCGGCAAGTCAGAGACTCATAATATTAAAAAGCATGTTTTATTTAAGAATATTCTTACAAATGAAAAATCGCCTAAAAATACACTTTTAATTACAAAATTATCAATTTCCCAACATATATATGTTAGGCATATGTTATTTTATACGTAATATAAGCTTCAATTTAAGGTAAAATTCAACCACAAACGCTTCGCAAACGTTTTAAAGTGTTCTATATAAAACTAAATGGCTTTATCGATAAACTTTGAGTTTGCAATAAAATGATTTCAAATTCTTGCATGCAAACAACTTTACTTGTCTTTTATTTAAAAAACTCAATATTAAAGATGCACTGAAATTATATGCTGTCTTGTTTAGTTGTTTCATATACACAAAGGCCATCAGGTTTTAAAGCCATTATAAATCCAATATTTAAAACAAACTTACCTTTGTTAACGTCGGCTCCCTTCTTTTAGCCAATTCTTTCGCCCTTTCTTTCTGAGAAAACTTTTGAAATTTACAAAATCTTGCAAAAATGCGAGCAAAAAAGAAATATATTTGCAAGAAATTTATCAATCAAGAAATGTTTGCTATTTCGCTGTCGTCATGCAGTCGTTGTAATGCAAACTTTAAATTGGACCAATCAGTGTCCGCTATTCATGACAGTCCACCAAATTTTTGAGATCAGCGAGGATGACCACCTATCGGTGGCCCACGCCCGCGATAATTGATGAAATTTAGACTTCGCTAATGCTTTTGTTTCCCCAGGTGTTAAATAGCCGGGGGGGGGGGATTAGTACCCTTGCAAGGCGCCATCAGCTCGGGGATGAAAACTATAGTTCTTTACCAATACACTATAGTTTTGAATACACTATAGTTATGAAAAGTATAATTCCATACCAGTAAACCATAGTTTTCATAACTAAATGAATATAGTTTTTTGAAAACTATAGTTCTTTAAAAATGACTATAGTTTCTATAACTTTAAAATACTCATTAAAAATTCATAAAACTTGGGGCAAATCATGTCAGCCATAACAGTCACTTATATCTGATAAAACTCGTGCATCCTAATTAGTATATGATTATATAATGGTTCATTCTAATTAATATTCTTTTGTAGTCGTATTTTAAGTACTATTTAGAGCAGGTGCAGGAGTGTTTTATCAGATATAAAACGCTCGGCTGCACCTCGAGTTCTATATCTGATAAAACACTCCTAAACATGCTTTAAATAGTACTATAGAGAACCTACCACATAATTCAGTTATTGCGCTGTAAACAAACTGTTAGTGAACTATAGTTCTCTGTTTATGACTATAGTAATTTGCAAGAATTATAATTCCCCAACATACTACTTGCATGCATGCCTTCGTGTTAGCAAAACTATAACTATTATTGGGAAAATTATAGATTTTTTGAGCAAATTACTCATTAGTTCTGTGAAGGTTTAATATCTATAACCTCCATTTCTACATAAAGTATAAAATACCTAAAATTAGATAAAGTTACCTGCAAACAGATATTTTTCATGTCACTAAAACATAGATTTATTTTCAATTCACATTTAAACATTTAGATTAATTTTCTACAAGAAGATAACTGTAATACTACAAGATAACATTTGGCAATATATGAGGCAGTACAGTAAAATCTCGCATACAAGATATAAGAACCTATTGGATTAACTCATTCCCATCCAGTCGAAAAGTAGCAATTTCGAGTGGTATTGTTTTAAACGCATATATCTTTCAAACTATACATTGTACGGAAACAGAAATTGCATTGTTCGAAAGAGGAGGACTTCCGCTTTCCAAAGATACCAATTTCAATTGTGCTTGGTTAATGATTTACTCGCATACATTTGCATAAATTATGATATAAAAAATGTTGCAATTATGCATAAATGTATTTACCGGTTCAAATTTCAAATATGTCAAAAATTTTATGAATGTAACTGAAAGACACGGTTATGAGCTACAAGTACCCGACGTTTCATGCATGTAGCATAAATAGAAGTATTTTTATTAAATTTTTATATAAACTATGTAGTTCTTACTCTCCAAGGATAGTATCGCACCAAAATAAGTCTGTGATACCCACAAAAGAACACTCAAATCATGATTAGCAAAATGTCTTTATTTCTACAGTTACTACATACATTCTTAGATAATCATTACACCATTGACTTTAGTTATTAGTGGCATAACCAGCCTGAAAATTTGGTCATGCTATTAAAATTTGAAATAATCACTACTCGTTTGTTTAGAAAATTATTGTTTTCACAATCTAGAACATGAAAATATTTGCATATAGCATGACCAAGTGTTGTTGGGCTGGCATCATCATTAGTAGTTATAAAAAAGTAATGTTTTCCAAGGCAGTAATGTTTGCCAAAGCAGTAATGTTTGCCAAAGCACATAATTGGATTATGTGGTGAAAATATTTTCTTTATATTGGACCACAAAAACCTAAGAGAGGATGTCCACAAAAATCAAACATAAAGCGGCCACGACTGAAAAATCGATTTTGCTCAAATTTTGCCCGGATATAGCTTATTATATCGGAAAATGCACCATATATTTTTTTAGGTCAAATGCTTTTTTAACTTTGAGAAAATGCCGTTTTAACACGACCACCCTAAATCGCCATTTTTTCTGGGAAAATATGCGCTGATTCTACAGATAAATTTCACGACGACAACCGTCTCTAATCGATCTAAAACCCTAAAAATCTTGTTTTCGGTTATTCAAAGGACTGTGTACATGACTTACTGGAAATCTGAGTTACTTTTAGGAATAGAAATAATCGTAGTTTTGGAGCACACTATCTTACTTCATTTACGATACCCTCTTAACAAAATCGATTTTCACCATGCGATAAAGCTAGCTCCAAATCGATCATGCTTCTACTAGTTGGCTCTTTAATAAACAAGCTTTCAATTGACGTAAATACTTCTTTTGGCAAATGAATACGCGATAAACGACAGCGCGTTGAAATCTTCCGTTTTTGACGTCTTGCAAGTCAAACGCTGTTAATTTATACACCGTCGAAGTAAACAATTTAATCAAGTATTCTAAGTATTTTAACTTTCGAGAAAAAACATATTCTTGAATGGGGACTTTTCGCTTTGCTAAGTTTAAAAGTGGTCCAGAAATCCCAGTATATTTGTAAAAAAATCATCAAACATCCAGTATTTTGAGACATTGTTGACGGTTGCATGATAACTTCAGATCATTATTCAACGTGATCTACCACCCGGCCGTTTGACTTTAGCGCTAACATATACAAATCGATGAGCTATTTAAGGATTATATTTGCTACTAAATTCCCCAAAAGAATTGTAACTACAACTGCTTTTTCGGAGGTTTTGATCCATTTTGTTCATATTAATGTACCATTTTATTTATCGACTGATGTTTACAAATACGTTAATTATTAAGCAGCTGTTAGCGTGCGTGTACATGTGAAATGAACATTTATAATGTTTATCCATATAAGGAGTTTTTATTTTTAGTTTACCAGCCCTTATATTTGAATAGTCGTTTCCTTTCAAGTTGTTTTCTTTTTTTATACTCTGCAAAGTTGATTCCGAAATGTTAAGGTATCCGAAAAAACTATCAAACTTTTCCATTATATTTACAGAGAAACGTCACAGCTATAAACCCCCCTCCCCCACCCCAAAACGAACATATGACGTTTCTTGTGGAAAAAATCGATATGTGAGGCTTCCCTAAAACTGCAAGGTTTACACTATTGAATTAAAATCCCACAGACCACAACGATTATACGTATTGATTGTTTCTTGACGATAGTAGACGCGTACGTGCATGTTGCGGAAGAGGTTATTTCGCTGGCCTCAGAGTGACAAAAGGTGCTCTGGTTCTAGAGGTTTAAAATAATAAACCTCTGTTTGAAAGCGGCAATTAATTCATCGAGCCGCGCCAGTTATGATAAGACAAGGGCGGCGCCAGGGCCGCCCATGCAGGGAGGCGGCAAAGGGAGCAATTTTCTCCGCGACCCCAGCTCAAGGAAGACAGGCAAATACAAATTTGCAAGGCGATAAAAAGTTTGTCGACGGAGGGGGGTAATTGTGGTTCACCGGGGCCCCAAGGGTATAATTGGCCCTGGGGCGCCATATTTCACTGAGCTGGTTTGGGCTGCGCCAGTATTTCTCCGACGGGGGGAGTCATCAGTGCTCTCTTTTGATCTTTGTCAATTGGCATTAAAACCGCAAGAACTACCGACAAGTGACCAGGGCCGGATTAACGTCGCGCGAGGCCCGTGGCAAATTTTAGCGCGAGGCCCCCAAACCTCCCCCTTTCTTCTTTTTATGAAAACCATTAAATTTAAAGACACACAAAAGTGTTAAACAATTTTATTCAATATTTCAATTTATTTGCATCAATTATAAACGAGATAATGGCCTGCCTGGCGCAGTTGGTGGGTATAAACAGGATCATAATATAACAGCTCAACGCAACTAAAGATTATATGAACACGAGTATTGCATATTTTCCCGGGGCCGTGCTAGGGCGAACTGCCAAACCTAGGGGCCCTAAATGCGCGAGGTCCCTAAATTCGCGGGGCACCTAAAATGGGTATATCCCAATAGAAAATGGCCGTGTTCTCGTAAAAATGGGCGTAGCACAGTAAAGCGCGAGGCCCACGGCATTTGCCATATTTGACACGTGGTTAATCCGGCGTTAAACGAGCAACAAGCTTTCATTTTCTTTAAACGCGACATATGGGGAGACAATAATAATTTGTGATGTCGCACTGGGCCAAAATACTCAATGCTGTATTTTTGGGTACTAGTACTTGTGAAATATGGCCATATAAAATAAATTCCTTGATTCTCATCACCGCCCGACGATATTTTGGTTTCCGCGTTGATATATTTTTGTATTTTGTTATAAAATATAAATTTACCGCCCGAACGAGCATCTTCAGAGATTTAGTTATTTTTATATTTTATATTGGAATTTTTGCGATATAAAATTGTTTTGCCGTTAATATTGCAACATGTTAAGGGATGCTTGGAATACTGAAGGAAAAATGGGCTTATAGCCTTATTACAACGATTTGTGTGGACCCTTATGCATGTTCATTAGCGCATGTGCAATTATCCACTTATATAGCGTTCTTCTATAATATATTTAAGGGCAAATATAAAAAGACCTCCCTCTCCAATTTTTTAAATTTTAAACTTTGTTTTTATATTTTGACATAAAATATAAACTATAAACCTCCCGCCTCCTGGGAGTTTTTAAAATTTAGCGATGAGAATCAAGGAATTTATTTTATATGGCCTATAATAAGATCAATAGACATTAGTGTATCAAAATAAAGTAATGTTACTGATTATTTTAACTGTGCATCAAAGTAAACACACATTATTCTAAACTACAGTATTTGCTATATGCCTATAATTTGAGTTTGAGGTGGTAGAATATATAATAAAATAACAAATCCTTGTATGGATAAATGTTAATTTCACATGCACGCTATTAACAGCTGCTTAATAATTAACTTATGTATTCGTAAACATTTATACTCGATAGTCGATATGTAAATACTAAATGGTACATTATATGGATCAATGCAAACTGGAACAAAACAACAATTGTCAATTGAAGTTCTAATTTTGGGAAATTTAGTAACAAATATAAAATCACTAAACAGCTCATCGATATGTATGTTTGCGCTATTAAAAGTAGACAATATTGAACAATGATCTGAAGTTGTCATGCAACTGGCAACAATATTATATTTCAAAATACCTGTATATGATGATATTTTACAAATATCTCGGGATTTTTGGACCAATTTTAAACTAAGCAAGGCAAAAAGTCTGCATTCAAGAATATATCTTCTTCTCAAAAGGTAAAATACTTAAAATACTTGATTAAATTGTTTACTTCGACGGTATGTAAATTTACAGCGTTTGACTTGCAAGACATCAAAAACGGACGATTTCAACGCGCTGTCGTTTATCGCGTATTCATTTGCCAAAAGAAGTATTTACGTCAATTGAAAGCTTGCTTATTAAAGAGCCAACTAGTAGAAGCATGATCGATTTGGAGCTTTATCGCATGGTGAAAATGGATTTTGTTAAGAGGGTATCGTAAATGAAGTAAGATAGTGTGCTCCAAAACTACGATTATTTCTATTCCTAAAAGTAACTCAGATTTCCTGTAAGTCATGTACACAGTCCTTTGAATAACCGAAAACAAGATTTTTAGGGTTTTAGATCGATTAGAAACGGCTGTCGTCGTGAAATTTATCTGTAAAATCAGCGCATATTTTCCCAGAAAAAATGGCGATTTATAGGGTGGTCGTGTTAAAACGGCATTTTCTCAAAGTTAAAAAAGCATTTGACCTAAAAAAATATATGGTGCATTTTCCGATATAATAAGGTATATCTGGGCAAAATTTGAGAAAAATCGATTTTTCAGTCGTGGCCGCGCAATGTCTCATATGTTCGATTTTTACTGACATTCACTCTTAAAGTTCTTTTATACAATAACACACGCACCCCACGCATATGCATTTTAAGGTTTCTTTGCCTGGCTGCCCAAAGGGCATGTTTCAGCATGATTTCATTACTTACATTATTCATGCTTCTTGTGCAAACAACTAAATTGCGTACACAACTTTACATCAGTTATCATAACTTCAACTATCTAATTTGCGCCGCCCTCGTGATTCGTGAAGCATAATAAAGGGCATATTATAAGGGCATAATACCAGCAAAAAAGGGTATAATTCCCGTGATCGCTTCGATCGAAACCTGACCAATATTCCGGTAATGAGACATTGCCTGTGATCACTGATCATGTTTTTATATGAACGATTTCGTGTGAGCTGTGAGGTAGCAAATACGGTTAGGCAAAATAGTCTGTAATTTACTATATGTCGCCTATGCGCTTAGTCTGTTTTGTACTGTAGCCTATAAACATGTCTTTTCTTGGCGGAAGTAACCATATTTTTTCGAGAATGTGTTTTTGCCCACCCACTTTCAAAATTCGGCGCCCCATTTTCATTTTTGCGCCCCCAAAGAATTGCCAGCTGGGGGGGGGGGGCGTGGCCCCCCGCACCTGCCAGCACGCCACTGTGGGTTGGACATCCATGCTATTAATCTTAGGGCGTGATCCAAACAAAATTTAAGCTAAGTTTGTTTGAAGACAACCACACCTTAACATTTTTCAAGTCATTATTCGATATCTGTAATCTGCTTCATTTAATGTTTTTCCCACAGCTGTAAGGCTGGTATCATCTGCAAACATCCTTGGTGTTGTATGTTTGAGACAATTTGGCAAATCATTTATATAGATAATAAACAGAAGAGGGCCAAGTATACTTCCCTGAGGGATGCCGCAAGTTATTCCTCTCTGATCTGAAAGCATTGCATTTAGCTGACATCTCTGTGTTCAATTTGTTAAGTAATTACTTAGTAAATCTAGGGCTTTATTACCAAAGCCATACCCCGTTCGAACTTACGTAAAAGAATTTCATGGTTGACAGTATCGAATGCTTTCTTTAAATCGAGAAGAACAAGTATGTTGTATAGGCCACGGTCCATGGTAATAAACCATTCATCAGTACAATCTAAAAGTGTGGTAGTTGTTGAATGAAATTGTCTAAAACCAAACTGATGTTCTGAAAGAATATTCTGTTTCTTTAAATAATCATACAGAATTTGGTCGTACAGAATCCTTTTCATCAGTTTGCTGGCCACAGGTAAAATTGAGATTGGTCTACAATCTATTGAGCCGATTTGTTGTAAGCGAATGGCATCCACTTGTGTAGTTGCGGTTTCGACTTCTGGCATATACAAAAGGCTTGTAAAAAGGGCATGCATGCAGATGTCTGCAATTTCATACAGGCATTGAGTTATTCATTACTTTTGTGCTACCTGATAACAGTTTTTGTTTTTATATCCGACGTCATCGCGTTTCCTGGCTACAACCTAAAGCCGGTTTTCCACTTCGCCCGTACCGTACCGAAACGTACTGGTGAGCATGCGCAGATTGAAAAGAGGTTTATAAATCCACGTACTTCCGGTTGTATTCGCGTATCTAAATAAAAAATGTACGTCGCAATTCAACTTTTTGGCGTACTACGGAAGTACTAACCAATCAATATTCACGAAATTTTCGAATTTGAAACGTTTTTGATACGTTTCGGTACGGTACACTTGAAGTGGAAAACCGGCGTAAAGGTCCCTATTAGGTACGACAGAAGTTGTGGGCGGAGAAGCTAAGAACACAGATTTAATCCACAATACATAGAGGCAATAGTGTGTAAGCGGTATAGTGCAAGATCACTCCAGCTTCTGCTAACATGCCTAAGTTTCGGACAACAAGACAAAGAGCATTGTAGACTGTTGGAGTGGACTTCGCCAGATGAATCTCATACAAAAAGTAAAAAAGAGTTCAAAGCAAGCGTTACGCAGCACTCTACACCTCACGGCTGTCCATGACAGTACACCTTCTATCGGACATGACTGTTTAGGAGTTCAAACAAAGCCTTGGAGTTTAGGACGAGGTAGGGCAAGATCAGAAAAAATCGTTCGCAATAACGGGAAAGCGTTTATCGAAACTATCAAGTATTTTAGAGAGCTGGAACGGAGTTAAGTACATTATCATTACGCGGCCCGATATGACACTTGCTGCCTTTATGCACGAGCTCATATTGGGGCGCCATTTTTTGAGCATACGCTTGGAGTGACGAAAACTTGTCTTCAAACCACACCTGAGAAAAGTTCTACTCGACAGGGGAAACAATGCTGAAAAACAAACCATTACGATTACGAACTGCAACCCTTATATAACATAAACCTTATAAGGAAGATAAAAAAAAGTTGGAAGAGATAGCTAGAAAGAACGTACAAGCGAGAAAATTACACAGCGCGATGCAAGGGTGCATGTAACGTGGAACAGGTGCTCATTCGAATAGGTAAAGGCTACAACAGATGTCAGTAAAAAAGCCAATATCGGGCGGAGACATCATATTTAAAAGAAAAGGAGAAACAGCACCTGACCTAGAGAAACTGACCGCGCGGGAAATAACGTGCTGGTTTTGAGCTATCACGGTAAGGAATATAATTGTATACCACAGCGGATAAAGAGAAACCAATGAATCGGAAAGCAAAACATTTAAACCGAGAGTTGTTCGAGCTGTAAAGACAAGGGCTATGGGAAGAATTCAACAGGGCTGCCAGTGACACTCAAGAATATTAGACATTACTGTTATCTCTTGGATGGATGGAAAGCGCAGGGTGGTAAAAAAAACCCCAGTTGGCTCAAATTCAACATCGTAAGGCACACCTAGATCTGGAACTCGCGAGTTGCATAACCTGTAACACTCTGTATAACTGAAACTCAGGTTGTGGTGTAAATATTATACGGCTAGTTTTGATATTGCCATAGACAATGCTCAGCCCAGAGCTTATTCAAAATATATTTTTTGACTTAACCTGCGATAAAGTTTGCTAAATAGAAGTACTTCAATAAATGTAGATGACAAACCACAGTTGCTCCAAACACTGGATTAACCCAATGGTATGAGATATTACACATTTACAAGACGAACAACCGTGTGCCAACGTTAATATGTTGTGTCATCAACATAAAACAATAACCAGCGAAGCAATACATTAGAGTATTTAACGGAAATACGAAAAAAAATGAATTACGATCATTGAAAAGACGTCAGATGTTTGTTTTCGAAGTTCTCCAAATACCAGCTAACCAGAAATAGAGATATTGCGGCAACTTATTTATCGTTCATGAATGACAAAAAGTGCAGTCCACCGGATATAGAATTTTTCGCATGTAAAGATGGAACGAATAATAATATTCTGCGCGCATATTAATCACGTTCGCTCAACGTTGAGTACTGAATGACATATGAAATAACTTCCACAATCATGAGGAAGGGTTAGGATTAAAGAAACATTACAACAGACCAAGTTTAATCTGATACTTACCCGGATACCAAAAGTAAGTAATAAACCGAAGGTGGCTTACACCATTTTCCAATGCATATTTCACTGCCTGCTTCTCTACTTCTTCTGATCCGTTCAACTGCTCAAATATCTGTCGACAAGCTTGCCACAATGTTTTATGTGCATCTCGCAAAGATACTGAAAAGGCATGTTTCCCATATTTCCCATCTGCCCGAAGCCAGTCCACCACTGTTTTGTGGAAAACAGTTACACAATCATCATAAACAGGCAGCAATGCTGAAAGACATTCATTCACCTTGGTTATCACTTTCCTCGTAGTACGGGTAGATCCAGGCAGTTTAAGAATCTTGGCAATAAGGCTTAACGGAAAAGGGTTTTGCATGGCAACCAGAATTTCAAGAATTTTATCAAACTCAATGTCGATTGACACTTTCTCTAGTTCCTCTTCCAAACGCTTGAAATACTTTTGGTAAATGGAATGTATTCCTTCAGGCACAACACTCAAAACATTCTTCACACTGTTCAACTTACGTAGTTCTAACTGATAATAATACGCATATAAAAATGATCCCTCGCACATTTCAACCATTTTCTCCATGTCATCTTGATTAACAGTATATCTGCTGCTCACACAGGAAACAAGATAATTCTGCAAGTCCGCTTTGTTGCCTTGATCATCACGTAGTATTTCGACATGATTCAAGCGTTCCAATTTCTCCTTCGTAACTTGCTCGAGTCGGCTGGTTAAGAAGATCTTAACCCACTTGGGAAGCAATTGAAATTCTTCATCTATTACATCCAACAAATTATTCTTCTCACCACTCGAGCTCTCATCCAACCCATCCAGAACAATTAGAATGCTGGACTTTTCATCTGGCAGTGAATTCAAAGGATCTTTTAAAAACACACGAAATGCATCTCCAATGGTGGTGAGTAATGGTTTTCGTTGTAACTGCGCAGCTAATTTTTCCTTAAATCCACTCACATTCTCACACAATTGACTTGCTAAAGACTCAAGCATCTTGCGTGGATCACTGTAAGCTGAGATGGTTGACTTAAAGAAGTGGCAGGCCTTTAACTGGTCTCTTTCCTTATACTGCTTACAAACTAGACCAGCAAACGTACTTTTTCCAAATCCTGCATCAGCAGTGAGGATCATAACTTGAGAATTAGAATCTCGTTGTTGAAACCAACGATCAACTTTCTTGGAAAGCCATTCCCTGGTCCCAGGGTGAAATGACTCATTATAAATCTCAACGTTTCGCCGAAAGTCGCACTTTTCCAGCAAATCGACATCATCTAAACATAAAAAGTAATGTATAAATGAAAAATAAATAAGCTAGCACATATCTTTCCAATCCCTTGAAGAACGTATATATTTAAAATTACAATTAAAACACTCGCATCGGGGTTTAAAGCACAATTTCACAAAAGAACAAAAAATTCATAGTTTCCCACCGTTGACTCTGGTGAGGAGGGGTGATTACGGTAAAAGTTCAACATGTGGATAGTGGTCACGCTTTGGCTACACCTCGTTCAGTGTTTAAATGTTCGTTCTTTGTTCACAAACTCCTGCATGTAAGACCCGATTCCGTACAAATAAAGGGCGCTGCAATAATTAAATTCAATCTGACTACAATGGATACACAACCCATTCTCGTCCTCTGTATGTAAGAGATAAACACCGAGAATGGAGGTTTTCTCGAATTCGAATCCGGAAGGCCGCTGCACTGATCTAAAAACTAAGACTGGATAGAGCAACGTAATTAATGTTGAAGGCAGAATATTATTAACGAGGAAAGATTTTTAAATGTTATATTCTTACGAATCAAATTGTTACGTGTTTAAGTTAGTTATATCATCAAGCAAATATCTTCTACGTAACTTGAAAGATATAGCTCTTCGCACCTCTTCCAATGAGTTTCACGTCGTTTCAAACATGAGATAATGTGACTTGGTGTGACCTCATTAATTATTCACTGACAAATTTCAGAAGAAAGAGAGGCAACTAATAACCAATTTCTCTGTAGGCAATATTTTTCTGCTCCTAGTTTCAACAACTTTAAGACCCTTTTCTAACATGTCCACAACATCACTGTAGCTTTGTGGATTTAATGCCCCATTATCTTCAGTTATGCATAGCCGATTCCTCTATCCATTCCTTCATTACAATTCGCCCCCGGTGTAAGTGTGTAATTGAGCCTGCTTTTCAACTAATCAGCAACATAGTAGGACGCATGCGCACTTTGACAGCTCCGAATTTCGGCAGACTTCGGTATACTGTCGGGAAAATAATCGGAATGCAACGGGTATCTCCCAGTTTGTTTGTCTCTTGGATGAACACGTTGTGTTCGCTTGTATTGAGAAATTTTGTGTCAGTTCTATCATGGCCAGAAATCACGGACAGGATTATTCTATTTCCTTACTAACTTTGCAAATCATTAATACATAACCCATTGAAATATGGCTTCGATAGTAAACAGTAAATTATGTTACGAGATGCTTTAAATCGGAAAATCAAAGAATATTGGTAGTCGTTTGCAATTTGCCTCGACTGCTGGCCGCAGAACACGGTCTGTTGAAATATATCGTGTAGTGTTTGCCTGGTGTAAGTTACTGCCTATTCTGCATTTTCGTTTGTTTCTAGTGGCTATAGTGCGGTATTATTATATAGAGTTAAATAGATAAATTTCCGTACAAACTATAGCTTGTGTACAAATACTGAAAATGGAAAATGCTCACTAATTAAAATCAAGTCAACATTACGCTAAATACTTCGACCGACTTTGATTTACAGCCAGCGACTGAGGCAAGTTGCAAACGACCTACCATATTCTCTGCTTTTGGGATTTACAGCATCGCGTAATATAATTTACTGTTTACTGCAGAAGCCATATTACGAAGGACGTATAATAAATCATGTTCGTGATTTCTGGCCATGATATATTTAAATGGAATTTTCTGATCGAATTTTTAGAATCGAGCGAAACCTGTCGATTTAATAATTACTGAATAGCTAAAATATTTAAATACATTCAAAAATGCTTTCCCGGCTTATTATAGAAACAATATAACTTGCATATCTTATATTACTGCCTCATTCGGTGGTAGCCTAATATAGACGTAAAATAGCCCTGGAAATGACGTTAAACTTTATCTTCCGAGTACAAAAATCAACAAACTAAACACGGATTTCCGAAGTTTGAAATTTGCTTCGGAGTGCAATCGGAATAAATTAGAGCAAAGGTAACGTAACGACCTATGGGATATATACCCCTGGTGCAAAGGGTAAAATTCCCGGCTTGCAGTAGGCGCAGCATTACACATTCAGACCGGGCTAGTTTTGTCATGGTTTGAGATCAGGCCCGAACGTTCCAACTTAGTTTATGATTCTCGAGGTTTGTTCCCAATAAGTCTATATGCGTTATAAATATTGCCTTGAAAAATGGGTCCTCCATTTTCTGGCGACTTCGAGCCCCATGTTAGCAAAGTAGAACGACGTGATATTGTATAGCAAATACTGTTACAGAAACCTGGTTTGTCTGAACTTAACTGGCGCGGATTGTCCTCGGATGCATAGAATGGCAAGAGTGAAGGAATTAGAGTTTAATATTAAATGTGCAGCACTGTCCAAAAATAACGTAACGCGCGCGCTGTGGCTATATTGCTGTTTGGTTGATTGAGGGCGATTGATAACACCTGCATTTGAAAAATACGATCTCTTGGCGTACATATCCCAGTAAGGGCTGCCTTCACTTCAGAGCCATCGTCGGGCAACCATGATATTGTATTATACTGTATATAAAGAATACGTAACGCTGTGTTGTCAACCGAAAGTTGAGCCGAGCGGGATTTGTGGGTTGACAACACAGTGTTGGGTTCTTCATGGTTGCCTTCCTGTTAAGTGTTTTTCATACATCCGTATAACGGCGGAAAAAATGAAACCATTTTATTGTTGCTTATAAAATAATAAATGAATGAAATGACATAACTCAATTTTGCATAAGATTCCATGTGTATTTGTGGAAAGATCTAATCTTCTCCATGTGTATATACGTATACGTGTGAGAAACGTTTAAGTTTGCAAATATCATCATAGATCTTCGTTTTGTCCACATTTCTTCGTTTTGTCAGCATATATATAGGGTCGGCTTGTAAAAAGCCGCTCTTGCAACGTTAAATTATGTAGTGATAAGCGATAACTATTAGAATAAGATCGTACGTGCATGCGAATTATTGCTTCGGAGATTGATTTATAAACTAGGGGCCGATTCTACAAGCTCAAAATAGAGAGCAAGTCTATAGATTCATTCAACAACCAAACTAAAAGTTTTGAACCTTCATTAATAGAACGATAATGTTTACAACTACATATTCAGTGCACAATATTTATGTTGACCGATTCACAAGAGATATAAGCGTGTACCTTATTTAATTTTGACTTAATATCCACCGTTTAAGCAAAACAGGCTTGATACAACTGGCTATAGGTTTCCATCACCATATCCATGTAAGCCGACTTAAAATAAATATGTATGCATTCATGCACTTAAAGTAAGGGGCGGACCGGTAGAAAAGTGAAATGGTGGGGGGGGGGGCTTTTCTAACTTGTACTCCCTTGCACGGATTTTTTTTATAATTTTCCCAATAGTGAAAAGTCTCTGCACGAATTTTTTTTCAAACTTTCATGGTGTACGAATTTTTTTCTTTTTGTTTCCTCCGCGCGATTTGTTTTTGCTCCCATCACTTTTCTAAAGGTCCGACGTCCGAGAGAATAGTTAGACTATCCGTGTATATAGTTAATGGACCATTTGCATTATACACTAAATTTTGATCTAAACAAGTCTAGATAAAAATTTCATCACCGCTTGAAAGAGCATCACACAATTAGTAATATTCCAAAGTTTCGTTGCGAAATATTGTAAAATGCGGATGATATAGCCTTGCGAAGTTTGCCGTTTTTCAGTCATTTTGTATTACAAACGGGAAATTGATGCCCCAACACCCGATTGAGCTGTCAATTCCCCCTCGTAATACAAAATGACTGAAAAACGGCAAACTTCGCAAGGCTATATTATCCGCATTTTACAACATTTCGCAACGAAACTTTGGAATATTACTAATTTGGTGATGCTCTTTCAAGCTGTTATGAAATTTTTGTCTAGACTTGTTTAGTTCAAAATTTAGTCTATAATGCAAATGGTCCATTGGAATAACAAAAATTTGTCATGACGGAACGGGAAAATAATATTCAAAGCCGGACAGATGTGAAAAGTGTTTGGTGTATAGGACACTAACTTATGAATATCTCAAAACAAGACATTTTAAACATTTTCAAAAGCCGAAATCTGTGTTCTTATCTATGTTACGAATTCGTGAGGAATGAATATACAAAATATTCTATGCCATGGGCACGCTATAGTTGCATGTATGAACGATTTTTCATTTATATATGAAACTTTTCTGTTCAATACTCTTGATTCGGTTAAACTCGAAGTGACATACTGTAGGTATCACTAAACTCGGTCACATCTAACGAAAAACTGCGTCACTCTTTATGGTATATATATAAGTTATCCATGCTCGATTTTGTGTGTCAAAGTTCTGGAAGATAATTCAGATTCCATGTCTTAAATTACTGGCCATTAAAGTAGTATCTTATAGCCAAATAAATATGCATACGTACATGAGCGACAATTGTCCTGGGCTTCCTGTTCCCAAATAGTAAAGCGTTGTTCAATATTGTTCTGACGTTTCTTAAGGATATCTTGGTCGTCCTGTAGGATAGCTTGTTTATCCTCTACCTCTGGAAGCCGTTTCTCAATTTCTTTTAAATCTAGCTGAATGTTGGTTAACATCCCCGTCACGTTCTTAATTTGCTTTTGGCTTTCAAAGGACATAGTCAGTACGTCACTTGACAATTTTCTAACATGCTCTTGTACCACTTTAACCAATTCAGAATCAACGCCAGTACTCATGCACAATCTAACACCTACAAAATAAAACAATCATTGGAAAAATCGCAGATCTCAAGCTAAAGCTCAATTTAGATTGTGTCACATGTGAATAGTTCGAACGCAAAACCCCCTTTAACTGTGAGAAAAGGTTACGAACTGTTGAAATTCTTTCTGTTAAGCTGCAAGATAGATTTTCAAGATAAAACTTTATATTTACTGCGAGTAATACTGATACTAACTGGGTATTACCGTCACAATGTAAACGACTGACTTCGAAGTCGAGACTTATAATGTTATTTTAATTATTAAATAAAAATTGGGCCTGAAAATTTGTAATCAATGGAGCTGTGCAACTCTTTCAGTGTCTTGCCTTGCATTATGTTAAGCAACTTGTTGTATTGTTTCCCAGTAAGTTGTATTGTTTCGCGTTTGGTTAGTTCCGCATTTTCCTATATGCATGGGTGACTGGGTGTCGTACGTAAATTTGTCGTAGGTGGTTGGTTTGTGTTTGTAGACGTCAGAGATGCTGGTTTGATCCGAGTTAGCATGCAGTCAGGTTCTTTATAAGTTTGTTTAAATTTATATGACACAATTTCCTTTAAACAAGTCTATAATACTGAGCAAAGCTAAACACTAGTCAATATTATACTTCTAAGATAAGAACTGGAACTTAATAATCGATTACGGGCGAGAACTAACGTTTTTTCTATATGATCATGAAGGAAGAGCTAACTGCAAATAATATTCAAGGCATTGTTATGTTTTTAATATCATCCATTCCTGAAAATCGATGATTAAAAACAGTCAAAACGCAGATAAATAAAATACTTTCTATATTTTCGGTGTAGCTGCATGTTGTTGTGTTTTTTTTTATGAAAACACCAAGCGGTTCAGGGCCGGATAAAACGCGTACTTAAGTGCGCCAATATTACGGTCTGGTATAGTTATTTTCTTCCAGCTAAGTACGTGCCACGTAGGTACTGCATGGGAGATATCTTATTTGCGTATTTACCTTTTGCTAGTACCATATGACCTTTTCAAGCCAAAGATATTCAAAACCGTAGTCATAATTTGTTCTATTATCACATGTGTAAATCTAGCATGTCTCGGCATAAAATATGATTGCGAGGGGCAAATCACTCGAAAAGTCTCGTATACACTTCCTCAAAAAGTCCGTAAAAAGTCCGGAAAGTCCAGAGGGATTCTAAAAAGTCCGCAAAATCCCTTTATCCAGTAAATCGGTAAAAAGTCCATGTAAATCATTGAAAATCTTTGAAAATTCTTTAAAATCCGTAAAATTGCATAAAATCATCTTTTAATTTGAAATATATGTCGAATAAAATAAAAATGTCCTTTAAAATGATGCCAAAAGCCGCTCTGGAGTTATAAATACTGCATATACTTCATGTAACCACAGTTGATTATTTTATTTAACCTGAACCACCTGAACTTCAGGCCCTGAAGGCTGGTACCGCTGGTTAGCTTCCGCGAACGGAATGCAGCGAGGTGCTTCTTGTGATCGGAAATATGAATTCGAGTATGGTTTCTTGCCACTGCTCTGGTAAGTGTATTATTTTCATGAGAGAATATCGTTTTATTGTCTGCAAAAAAGTCTGGAAAAAATTAGACAAAAGTCCGACAAAAAAATCCTGTACACTTTTTTCGAGTGATTTGCCCCTCGTATGATTGGACTGATCGAGCTTTAATTAAAGATGCTTGAATCAATGGACCTTTAACGTTATAACTAAAATTTTGATCTAGATAAAAATTTCATCACAGCTTGAAAAAGCATCACAAAATTAGTAATTTTCCAAAGTTTCGTTACGTAATGTTGTAAATTATGCGGATAATATAGCCCTGCGAAGTTTGCCGTTTTTAAGTAAATTTGTATTACAAACGCGAAATTGATACCCCAATCGGGTGTTGGGTATCATTTTCCCGTTTGTACGTAATACAAAATTACTAAAAATTGCAAATTTCGCAGAGCTATATTATCCGCATTTTACGACATTTCGCAACGAAACTTCGGAATATTGCTAATTTTGTGATGCTCTTTCAAGCTGTCTAGACTTGTCTAGATCAAAATTTTAGTTATAATGTTAAAGGTCCATTGCAGTGCATGCTTTTACATGCAATTGTGTTACTTATTCGAACTCTTAGTTTTAGGTTACTGAATGAATATCTTTCAGAAACCTGCACATTATCTTGAAGACTTAGTACACCTTGAGTGGTAAACGCGTAAAAATTATGAACCCGCTGTTTAACAGGATTGAACATGTTTTGCTGCCCACATTGTTCACACTTGTCAACAATATTGAACACTACTGTTCAGCCTGAATCGAGTGTAACAATATTGTTCAACATTGTTGACAATTGTGAACAATGTGGGCAGCACAACATTGTTCAATCCTGTTTATATCAATATTGCAAAAACCTGATCGCTTTTAGCCGTGTAAGTTTGTACCAGCTGGCAATAAGCAATAAATTACCGTCCCGCTGCGACTAAAACCCTTGAATTGCAGCACCCTGGTGGTTCCCGTGATTATAAGTACGAAATTATCTCCTTGCGTCTGCAATACAGCAAGTTGTGCCGAATAACAATATGCAACAAGAAACTTTAAGATAAATAATATAAAGGCTAAACAAGTACCTTTATCTTCCCAGTCTTTAAGATCTGCTAAAATTTTACTTTCATCTGCAGGTGATAAACCCACCCCAGTCACAAGCTGTTTCATCTCGTCAAATCTCTTCCTGAAATTTGCTTCATTCCACTCAGTAAAATTGCAATGTCCCCAAGCATTTCTGCCTTCTCTTACAGTATTTGCCGCAGTTTGGAGAGCAGCATGGAACACAGGAATTCTGCCAAGCAGAATTAGCACAGCAGAAGCATCACAGGTCTCATTAAACGCGTTAAACTTGGCCATGTAGTTCTGGAGAAAGAGCTTAGCAAAGTCAACATGTGAGGTAACTTTGTAGTCAAAGGGTATTCTTGACTTCGTGTCATTACCGTTGATGTTCTCATACTTCATATTACGCTTCGGGTACTTCGAAACTGGAAGGTTGTGCGATATCTGAACGTCAATGCCGTGGTTTAATTGGAGGTCGTTGTATTCCTTCAAAATTTCTTGTTCTAGTATGGGACGTATAGAGGGAACTAGAACATGGTTGAGGGCAATTCCGTAGACACACCATCGTTTATTGTCCTCAGTTAACATTGTCAATGTAGACCTATATAAAAAAGAAATAATTTTAATAGACTGTGAATTCGCAGCTAGTGGGACAAACTCAAACCCTCTTTCAAAGAAAGCTGATTAATCTACATGCAAAGGAAACCAGCCCAAAATTCATGGTAATTACTTTATATACTATCATTTCAGTGGTCAGGTATCGACGAAAATAAAGTAATCTGATTGGCTGGCGAGCGGTCCAGTTTTTCCTTTCTGGGCCTATCAACCGGTTTTGAGCATGTATGCTGGACTTGATATTATTTCGACAAAATGCAGAAAGCCAAATAGTGGTTTCACATTTTATCACGCACCTCAATTCGAAATAAATACAAATGAATCCACAATCCAAGAACGCCACCCTAAATTCCATAGTTCAGTAGTATGCATATCATTACTTTACAATACTAATAATAACAACAGTCCTTATTATTCACTAGGAATGTCTGAATCACTCCACGGTGTTTTTCGGTGCCACTAAAAAAGTCTAACTTCCATTAAATTCATTACAAGCGTCATATACTGTATTTCAAGCCATATGTTTGTAGGACATTGCGTGAAAACTATCCTATATGTTGCCAAAAATGCTTTGGGTTGGAATATAATGCAGAATCAAACAACCACTTACAAATTTGTTGATCCCGTATCTCCCATTTTGATTACAGCTTTTTCCTTAATATTAGTTCCATATCCTCAGTTGCCAACTTGACACATTAAGAAACCTTTAAATATTAAAAAGATTGCAATTACACAACAAAACAGAAAATGCAATAGAACTGAGGGGAATTAGCTGGTTTTGTAATTCTGCATGTACAAGATGAAGGCCTTATTTCTTTTCAGTTTCTTTCTGTTATGGAAATCATGTGTTAAAATTCAGCAAGACCAGTATACCACGAAGGTGGGGATACACCAGAAGACTTTATTTACTCAAAACTGATCATGGCCGGATTTTGAGGGGAGGTGTGGGGAGGTGCGCACCTCTCTGAGATCGTGTTGCACCTCCCCTGAGAATTTTTGCACCTCCCCCTAAAAGTCATGCACCTCCCTTGGGAAAGTTTCAATAATAGACGAAAGTGAAAATTTGGCATTTTTTGGTTGCTTAGGACGTTTACACATCGTAAGAAAGTTTTTCTGTAAAATTGAAATAGTGATAGCCATTCATCTCTATGTCAAGTACCCTTTTAATGCAATGTTTCGAAAGAAACTTTCTAGTAATTGTAATGAAGGGCAAGATTGGATGAGTTGTACAGTCATAATTTACATTAATACACTGATACATATGTACACTACACTACATGCACATGTCACGTCGTTGCTGCCCGTTGTAAGCCCTAACTTTCCACGGGGGCCGTGAGCTAAACCGCTGCACCTCCCCTAAATTCTTTTCTACCTTCCCCACTATTTCCACCAAAATCCGGCCTTGTAACTGATCTAAGCCGCCGATCGATCTAACTAAATGTTGCGTTTCCAACCTTATGTGTTTCAAGTACTGTAGCACAACTAGCAATATCGCAATTGTTGTAAAGATGAAATAGTCCAAACTAAGTATGTAATTAGGTAACCGCAATACCCGACCAAAGCGCATCAATGTCAAATATGTGCTGTAGAAATGTCAAATTAAATTGTGCGATATTAGGAAATTCACTTGGTCTTCTGTTTATATCGGATTCGTTTTGCCGTTTACACTAATGAGCATGAATCTGATACAAAATTATCACAGATATAGAATATAAATCCGGAACCTTGGAATCCGGAAAATTTTCTGGGAATCTTGAATATGAATCCGCATAATTCCCATGTAAACGCTTTCCGTAGGGAATCCGAAAGAAGTTACTTCCGCGAATGTTTTAAAAAATTGCTATTAAATCCAACACTCAAACTGGGTTAAACCATCGCATAATAACATTAACGGTGTCAGAATTATACTGAATATATCATTATAATGCATTGACAATATTCGTTGTGTCAGCCTGTATGATGAAAACGCCCCATGAATTTGTATACTTGAACTAGGGATCCAAGGATAGTGTGAAGTTTCAAATTGAAAAAGATTCTGCAAGAACTATATAGGGTCGCTGACAACCTAGAAAAGGTGATGTCTTACACTACGAAATAAACAATCACCAACGGCATTTCATTTCATTATATATTGCTTTTAATGCGCTCGACACACGAGTAGCGTGACGTTTGAAACAAGCCTAACACATCAGAAACGTGCTTTGTGAAACTGATACAATTTATCTATTTATTGTGATGCCACACGCGACAATTCGAAATTTCAATTGCAGCTGTCGCTAAAAGCATCCACACAAGGCTACTGCAAACTTATAATTGAAATAGATGTATACGATATGTTATAAATAATAAGCACTACGTCGTTACATCATTGAAAGGAAGCATTTTATCTTCATCCGTTCCGTATTTTTTTCGCATTTCCGTTCTGTGGTCCGTGTAGTAACGTGCCGAAACAGAAGATAAACGAGCCCAGTGTAAGATACAAAATATATTGTCTAAACTAAATACAAGATGGCGGAACACTCTTTTATACATGCCCCAACATGCGTTGGGGTCGTCAATGCACAGGGGTACCGTACTCTACACCTTCCCCCAAGTATACAATTGTCATACTTCAACAATATTTTATGTAACTAATTTGCTTACCCACTAGAGTTCAATGTTCCAATTTTTAAATAAACTATAATTTATAACATCCTAAGAAAGTCAATAATATACCTCACTAATTTAATTAAACTAAAGTCCTAAATTGTGAATGTTAATTATTCAATGTTCTACTTATCGTCATCCATCAGCTTCACAAGTCCAATCGCTGGGGAGGTCGAACAACTCTACCAGAACGGGTGGTGGTATACTGAGTGGATTGAGCCCCAGATGTCGGCGCAGCAGGAGGTACTATGGGTGGCGTTCGTGGTGGTACAGGTTGCTGGGTTGTGGGGGTATCAACAGTTTGTTCTGCGCGGGTAGGTTCCGTTTCTTGACTCCCTTCGGTAATGGAGACTAAGGCAGATCGATTACGCCTAAGAATTCCTTTGTCAGTCTTCACAAGGTAGGATCTGGGATACTGGGTGGAAGAAAGGATCTCACCTTGCTTACTTTGATCCTTGACCCATACTGCATCTCCAGAGTCATAGGTGGGCAGCTCTCTTGCCCTATGCCTACGGTTGAAATTGGTTTCTTGTGCTCTACGGTAGGACTTTTCCTTGGATACCACCCTCTCCAACTCAAAAGTAAGGTCCTTCGGTTTCAATGTATCTGGGAGAACGGGTAGCTGTGTCTTTAGCCGGCGACCCATAAGGAGCTGGCTTGGCGACAAACCATTCTGAAGGGGTGTCGAGTGATACGATAGAAGGGCAAGATAAGGGTCTTGGTTCTTCTTCAAAATCTCCTTTGCAGTACGCACTGCCCGCTCGGCTTCGCCATTCGCTTGAGGATACCTAGGTGAACTTGTGGAATGAATGAAGCCATAGGTTTTCGCAAACTTCCTGAAGGCTTCGGATGCGTACTGAGGACCATTGTCCGAAATAACGATCTCTGGAATCCCATGAGTGGCAAATAGCTCCTTGAGGATATTGATCACGTAGTCAGACGTCTGACTGTGAAGCCTTTTAATCTCCAACCAACGAGAATAGTAATCAACAACAAGAAGATAGATTTTCCCTTGAAAGTCGAAGAGATCCATACCGATCCGTTCCCATGGGCGAGAAGGGAAAGAACTTGACATGAGTGGTTCTTTCTGGTCTTGTCTCACCTTTGCACAAGTATTACACTTAGAAATCATCTCTTGAATAGCAGTTGACAGTCCAGGCCACCAGACTGAGTCACGTGCTCTTGCTCTACACTTAGTTATCCCTAGGTGACCAGTGTGGATGCAGTCAAGGATATCCAACCTCAGGGCTCTCGGAATAACAATTCGATCGTCATATAACAAGATATCATCCACAACTGCTAGGTGGCTCTGTGCCTCCCAGTATGGTCGCATTAGCGGCTGGTGGGGCCTATAGGTGGGCCAACCATTTACACAATACTTGCGGATTAGAGAACATTCTTCATCTACTTTCTGAGCTGCCCGTATTTCCTGCAAGCGATTTGTAGTTACAGGTAATGTACCCAACATCTCGTTTGTATAGCTCTCTACTTCCTCTACAAGATTGTGATCGTCTCCATCCGGTTTACCAACAGGAGCGCGAGACAGTGCATCTGCGACAAGCTGTTGCTTTCCAGGGACATGGACGACGTGTGGGTTAAACCTCATGAGTCGCAACCGAAACCTCAGTATGCGTGGAGGCATCTTGCTCAACTCAGTTGTGTTGAACAGCGTTGTGAGAGGTTTGTGGTCTGTCTCTAACGTAAACTGCAATCCGGTGATGTAATCCGAGAACCTCTCACATGCCCAGGTCGCCGCTAGAGCTTCTTTCTCGATGACTGCGTACCGCTTCTCTGTTTCTGATAGAGTGCGAGAAGCATAATAGACGGGACGACGGTCCCCATCCTCCTGAATCTGGATAAGCACTGCTCCAACTCCGATAGCAGAGGCATCTGCAGCGACTATGGTTTCCTTTCGAGGATCATAGCGAGCCAGAACTTCCGAAGACATCAGGACTTCTTTGATCCGTAAGAATGCTGTTTGATGGGCTATTTCCCATCTCCACACAGCGTCTTTGTGAAGAAGCTGTCGAAGAGGCTCGTTGAGGTCTGCAAGTCGCGGTACAAACTTGCCAACATGATTTACCATTCCTAAAAATCGTTGAAGCTCGGTGACATTTTTAGGTGTTGGGAACTTGGCAATGGCTGTCGTTTTGTCTGGGTCAATGTGGATGCCCAGATCGTCAATCACGTGTGCCAGGAACTTGAT